CTGATGGCTGCCAGTACAGCGGTGGTGGTGGGAGCCTCTCCTGCCTCCTCAGCAGCGCTAAGGATGTCCGACTGCAGCTTAGGTCTGCTCCCTGCTGGCAAGTGAACATCCTCGAAGGCTGCCAAGCTGCCAGAGGGATGTCTGATTGCCAGCTTAGGCCCAATACCTCAGGGAGCAGGCCTAAGCCATCAGGTGGTCATCCCCCGAGGGGTCCCAGACTGCAAGAGGGCACAGGCCAGGCTGAGGGTCCCCCTCTCCCCCGCCAAGTGCACCAATTTTTGTGCACTGGGCCTCTAGTATTATTAATATGAGTAAAGTAGTGGTTCTTTGCATATCTTCCTGAAATTAACATGCATACCCTAATTTATACTTCTAAGTGAATATTGGTTTCTTTACAGTAGTTACCTAGGAAAGTTATGCAGTTGTTTCAGTGATGTTATTGGTGTTGCAAATGGTTTGTAGTCTCTTTTTTTGAAACTGCTTTGAGAGTAACTATACCTATCTGTTGAAATTCATGGTGATTTTTATTTATTCATCTGACAGATATTTATTGAATATCTACTATTTGCTAGTTTTGCTGACTTCTAGATTGATGAAAATTTAAAACAAGCAAACAGCATGGCCTTTGCCTTTATTATGTTCACAATCTAGAGGTTTTGATTTGTAGAAACTGCCAAAAGCTGATCTGGTAAAGAGGGTCGGGGGGTGGGTAACTAGTGAATGCCACTTTAGCGGAAAACGTTATGACATAGATTAGTTTTTCTTTTTATCCATTATATTAGTTTTCAGAGTATTATCAAAGAGAAATATTTTTTAAAACCTCACAAAGCCCATTTTGCACTAAGATAGTATCTTTGGAATAGTTGATTGCTTGTCTTGGAACCTGATTTGAAGGATAACATTTATTTAGATAGATGTTAACATTAGTATTTTATTTTACTAGTTTTTGTGTGTCTTTAGGACCTTATATTCGCCAACTTCTGTTTGGTTAATGTGAAAATTTTAAAATAGGGTCCTGGTTTACATTTGAGAAAATCTGCTACACAAGGTTGATAGTTAAATCAAATTATCCTATTGATCTTCAGTTTTGTGTATGTATTTAAGTTTACATAAAGTACAGATTCTCAGCCTACCCTTGATTAGTTTTCTTTAATAATTGTGTGTATGTGATTATTCACTTAGAAAAAAATGGAAATATCTAGTGATGCTTCATCTGGAAGTGTAATTCTGTTATAAACAAAATTGGACAAAAACAAGTTTTACCCCAGACATTTAATGCATGATATGAGCAAAAAAATTATCACAATGGATGCACAGAGGAGAGACCCAGTGCTCTGTTCTAGTAGTTTTATTGGTAGTAACACACGTTTTTCTCTGCAGGGGGATCTCTGGATGTATATAGAAAAATTCCAGAGCATGTCCTTGGGAGGATTGCCGTGGCGGTGAGTATATGGCTTCAACCTTATGAAATCTGGGTGATTTTGTCTCTAGTCGAGCCTTACTCTCCTTATATCCTCTTCTCAATCCCTGTTGACAGCCAGGGCCATCTTAACTTTTATTGTCATATTTGTGCTTTCTTCTTTCCATAGACCAACCCACAGTAACTATATAGTCACATGACACCTATCAGGCTTGTAGGTACTCTGACCTTCTGGTTTCATGTGTTTGCCGGGACCTTAGTGCTCTTATTGACCATGTTCTTCAAAAAGAAAGCTGGTTGTTGGGCATTTTATACTTCTAAGCACATTAGAAAATACTTTTAAAGTCTAAATTATTAAAATAAAACAGTCTATAAGAAAATACTACTTTGTTCTTAAAGATTTTTGTTCTTGGGTTTTAATTTTTATTCCCTTTGTGATTAAAAGTAGTTTTTCTATTTTCTATATTCACTAATAAACTGATGAAATATATCAGTTAAATTAAGTAGCTGTATAAGCCCCATATTTCAAATTTGGAATAATGTAGGTTAAACAGTGTCTAAGAGAAGTCATGGGTTAGTGTAATAGTGAACAATTGCTAAACTAAAGGCACTCTGATAACCTAAGCAGTTTAATACAGAACAAAGTGATTTTACCATGTACCATTTAATTAAATGGCTGATTTTTCACATTCATTATACATCAGACTGACAATGCAAATCCTTTAATCCAGCATGGACACTTATTTAGTTTCAGTTCATTGTAATTCACAGCTTTCCTTTTTTCTTTCTAATTATTAGTGTGAACTGCCCAGGATGATGAGAACTTTCTTTTCTGATGCTATTGCTGTTAAGTAGCTTCTAATCTACATGTTGAGGTAAATTAGTTCAGTAAAATTTGAGTACTTAAATCTCTATTTTAGATGAAAATAAAAATGTTTCATTTCCTTTTTTAATCTCAGGGGGGAATGAATTCTTTGTGGCTTTTGGCAGTTCTTGGCTCTAAAGTTTAATAACACGTATAATAAAGGGCGAAAAAAGGCAAGGATACCAATAGAAAATGAAAAAAAAGTATATGCATTCTATGTACTCAATTATCTATTGAACTTGGATAAAATAGAAATCTGCCTCCTTCAGTAGAGAAGCATGTTCTTCCTGGACTTCATAAACCTTACCTTCCTCTTGTGTAGGGCAGCCACACAAGGCTGCAGTCCTTTCAGTTCTACTGGAGTGGGAAACCTGTGAAGGGAATAGAGCCAGAAAAAAAAAATAATCCAGTTTCCAATACAGGACTTACCTATTGAATAATGGAAATATGAAAAAAGTTATTTTAGAGAAAGGCATTTAAAATAAGTGCTAGCCCAAAGCATTGTTTACATTTGCCCTTACAATTTTAATAATTAGAAGTTTTGTTTTTTTCTAGAATGTTTCTAATTTCTCCAACTTTTATGGCTCATCAGGTCATAGTAATGAAAACTGCTGTGGCCCGAGTAGAAAAAATGCTTTTGATAGTTTTGCTCTCCATCTGCCACTTTTTATAGACTCTGCTGGTACCTAAACTTGCATGATGCCTCCAAAGTATATTTTTTAATGTAATGAGTAGGCTACAAACTAGGATAATCCTTTTTTGCCACTGACAAGCACCAATGGAAGGATTCTACCAATCAGAATAAGACTAGCAAATCAATGGGCTGTAGGCCGTGGTTTGTAAAGTACTTATTCTCATGGCCTGACTGGGTTCCTGGTATACTTGATTCTCCTCTAGTGTTCTGAAGACAGCTTCGGCATCATTCCCTTTAGTCCTTTCTGTGAGGGCAAGAGCACATGGGTGCTCTTTTGAAGTCAGAATCAACAGAATCAGGAGAGAGGAGGAAAATAGGTGCATAGTGAATACTTCATTATGGGTAAATGTTTTATATACAACTATTATCATTCAGTCTTACAGCAGCTCTGTAAAGTGTAGATTATTGCACATATTTTATGCATGTACTCGTATAAGATGAGGTTTAGAAAAGTTAAATAACTTGCCCAGAGTTATATAACTAGTCAGTAATAATTTACCCTGAGGGCTGTTTGACTCCAGGCCCCATGTTCTTTCACTCTACTTTCGTAAGATAATGAGAAAAAAGAAGAGGAAGGAGTAAAAGAGAGAACAAAGGTTTAAAAGAAAAAGAGAAGTATGAATGAGAGAATAATGGAATAACACATACAGATTCATATTCTCTTCATGTCTTAGAACCATATCTAGGCATTTCTTCCTCCACAAATTAACTTTATTTCCCAAAGACCCAAGGTTCATTACAGGATGGACCCCTGTCTGCCTTTATGATATGTTGTTTAAATTTTCTCTGTAGGGTGTATAGCAAGAGAATATTTTTCTCAAATAAAGAAATCCACATAAACTGGCGGAATCCAGCCTTCCAGCTTGTTTCGTGATTTTTATCTAC